CTATTCTAACCTTCTGTCCCCGTCTTCGAACACCCAGTGAAATCAATGAGAATATCAATAATAGCTTAGTAGTCCGATGTGGGGATTAGTGAAGAATCATAATTGGGGAGATCCTCAAGTGAAAACAGGCAATTGATAGAGGTTGAATCAAAAGGGACTTGCTTCCCCTGTACAAAAAACGCATTCATCAACGGACTCGTTGGCATCAACATAAAATTCCCTTACCAAAGGGACACATGCTAGGCCGAAAATAGTAGCAAACCTACCCCAATTTCTCTTGGTATCTCTGCCTGAATCTCAGGCTCGGGGGACTAAAAAACTCTCTCGGAAATTAATCACTTCTTCAAAATTATTCCACCATAACGTTGGGAAACACCTAAGCTCACAAATCTCCTCGCATCATATTGGGTTTCTTCTCTACCCCTCACTCTAGGCAACATTATGCGAGAGAAATTTGAAAAGGTCGGAGGGGAGGAAAAGATGAAAAACTCGATGAACTCACAATGACAATCTAAAATGATGGAAGATCTCATCTTAGGACGGGAAGGAGGCTTAGATCTAAGAGTTGACGGTTGATTTTGAGCTCCGGCGATGTCTTCTCGACGAGCTAGGGCAAGGTATGGGTGTGGCATAACTACGACTCTCGGGAAGGAGGAAATAACGAGCGAAAAAGAAAAGAGATGGGTTTCGAAACCCAAATCATGCTAACCGCGATCATGCCCATTGGGGCGTGGCCACCCCCAAAATGTGGAGTGGTCACGCTAGGCCAAAACACGGGTTTGGTCATTTCAAGCCACAGTATTTGCAATTTTAGCGCTTAAACATCCGAAAATTGTTTTGGAAAAGTTGTATTAATTTTAACAAAGCTTCAAACAGCATAACATACCCTTATTAGTGGGGGCAAGTTTTTCTATTGATCGAACTTTGCTTTTTGCCTTAAGATTCTTCCGATATTTTTACCAGATATTCCAAATATCTTATGAAGGTTCTACCACAGATTATCCTTAAAAAAGTTATTTTTTAAATTCCCAAATTCTTCCTAATATTGGTTCTTTTTCAATCGAATACTAAATCAAGGTGAAAGTTCTTTTTCATTAGAAAAAATCACCAAAGATTGCTCTAAGCTTAATCGGAGACCCACCTTCAAACGCTTTAGATTAACGGTCAGACTAGTTCCATTTTCGAGAGAGAAAATGAGTTTGGGAGACATATTGTCTGTAATTGATGCAGAAAAGATATCAAGTGAGAGTCGACTGTAGAACCTTTTGAAGAATGGAAATGGGTTTGTAAAGCTTCTCAAAGTAAAAGATGGAAAGGAACTAGACCCAGAAATAGAGCTGAAACCAGAAATTTATTCAAGTTCTTTTGAAGAGAAGCTGATCAATTAGGTTTACCGTACAAGAAGAGAAAAATGAGTCTCTAGAGGAGTTGCCAGAAAATAATCTTAGTGGATTTTTTTGCGTGGCCACCATGCACCTCAGAAGATTTCTATTTGAACGATAAGATACGACATTCAATGAATAATAGATTACTTTCGAAGAATAAGAATATTATCTCAGAATGGACCTAATCATCCAGATGAGGAAATCTTTATGGGCTTGCAGAACAAAGATTTTTATCTCACAGATGCAAGATAAGATTTAATTATGGGAATCTCGTTTCCCAGAAGGGCAAACCCTCATAATTAATTACATTTCTAGGATGATAGACCCTAAAAATAACTTTTGATTAATATGATAAACCAAATTGTTCAAGATTAAGCTTTAGAAGAGGGGATTTTAAATGGATGGGACTTACAAAAGAAGGGTCAAGATGGAGAACTATACCTGATGGAAAGTGATTTAAAAAAACTTAAATTGATCAAATTAGATCAACAGATTAAACAGAAACACTTGATTTGACAGACATAAATAATTAGGAATCCTAAACTAAGAATAGAGTTAGTTTAGAAAGATTCTTAGATAGAAAATGAAACCCTAGACTCTCTAAAGGATCCTGATAGGTAGACTAACCTAGACCTTGGGAATAATGTACTCGATTAAGATGCCCATGGCTTTCCGTCATCCTTGGCATATTGGTATCAGTCCATTATGACCAACCTCATCACAAGGATTTCTCCTTAGATGTCTAAGCTTAAAGGATTCATACTCTCGAAGTAGTCTGAAATACTTTTGTCTGTAACCATAGGTTATATCCTTCAAGGATATTCCCCTTCGTTTCAGGGGGTAAGTTTATTTATTTTATAAGTCCTAGTCCTTAGAGCTAGCTAGGGTACTTAGACTAAATTAGGTTTCTATAGTTAGACTAAACTATGGTAGGTGTATGGCCCTAAGTTTGGTGTCTAAGTTAACTAACCTAGAATTCATGTCGGATCTTTCTAATGTTGATTCTCGTTATTTATCCTGTTGTGTTTTAGATGTATATTTGAGGTTCAATGTTTAATTCATGTGTTGGTTTCATTCCCTAGGTTTGTCAGTCATGATTGAGAAATCAAGAGTTCCTCTAAGTTTTGACTAAAATTTTTATGTTTGCGGAGAAAAACCACCTTGCAAATGGTTTTCTTCCTCCCTATTTGTTTAATGCATTTTTGTTATTTTTTTTTAAGCACACACATGAAACAACATAAATAAAAACATATTACTAGCCTTGGATTAAACTTGGGTTTAGAACTGAACATGGGTCAACCATTTTATTTTGGGTAATTTGGGTCATTTCAAATCATTTGAATGATTTTGGGGTATTTCGAGTTATTTAGGTGGTTTCGAAGTTATTCGGGTCATTTTGGTGATTTCGGGTGGCTTTAGGTCATATGGGCGGTTTCGGATCATTTTAGTTCATTTGGGTGGTTTCAAAGTGTTTTGGATCATTTCGGTGGTTTCGGAGTGTTTCAGATCATTTGGGTGGTTTTGGGGTATTTTTGAGCTAATTGAGTGGTTTCAAAGTGTTTCAGGTCATTTGGATTAGGTTGGACTAGCCCTGAGCTGGGTCGAGTTTGGGTTGTGTCAGATTTGGGTTAAGTTTTAGGATTTGGGTTAGGTTGGGCTTAGACCTGAGCTGGGACAAATCAAGGTTGGTTCAGGTCCGAGTTGAATCATACATGGGTTAGGTTTAAGGGTTTTGGGTTTGGGCTAGACCTGAGCTGGATCGGGTCTTGGTTGGGTCAGACCTGGGTTAGGTTTTAGGGTTTGGGTTGAACCATTTTACGGATTAGGAATAGGACGGGTTCGAGTCAACCCGAGTCAAACCCAAACCCAAGTTTAATCCAAGGCTGTTGAATTAACCTAAACTAGATCTTTAAAGCACCAAAATTAAATGCTTGAATTAAACACTTAACTTAAAAGGAAAAAAAAAATGGAGGAAATACTTACAAAGCGGTGGCTAACCGGAGAACTCAGCTTAATTGCTTCACCACTGGATTCCTTCACGTCGTACCGAGCACACAGAGCATTTCGTTAGGAACGAACAGTCGCCTTTTATAAGCAGCGGCGGCTGTCTTGGGGTTGTCAATCAGATAGAAGATTGATGGTTTGGATTAGTCCAGTGGTTTTCGCAATTGTCGACGGTTGCCAGATGTTTTCAGTCGTCCGATCGAATGAACGGTCGGGATGAATATCTGTGGATAAAGGTCGTGGATCAGTGACATAAGAATGGGGGAGTGGCCACGCATAGCATGGTCATGGCCATGCCCTGGGCGTGGTCACGCCTCAGGCCTGGCATGACCATGCTAGGCCAGAAAGGGCCAAGTGTGTTGCTTTTTGGGTTCAAAGGCACTGTGACCATTCTAGAAGGACCATATGACACTGAAAGTTGGATGTGACCCAAAAATGAAGTCAATAAAGATTACTAAAAAAACAAGCCTCACCAATTATAGAAGGAGACCCACCCATGAAATCTAATGCCTAACATTTGATCAAGGAATTGAATCTTAAAAGAAAGGCCTGAACATCTAAAATAGAATCTAACATTTTTCCTTTATAATGTCAATTAATAATCATCGAATGTATTTAAACTAAAGTTCCCAAAAAGTAGCCAGCAGAAAGAAGAATAGAGAAATCTGAAGAACCAACTAAATCTCCGTCACATATTCCCAACTATGCTTTGGACAACATAGCACAAATAGAAAATTTCAGTAGAGCTGAAACATTCATAAAACCTACACCATTAAAGTAACCTGTTGCTATAGTCCTGAAAGCCAAAAGATGTCGCTTTTAATATTCTCACGAACAAGGATTTGCAAAAATAGAATTACAACAAAAAAAGAACATGAATAGAACAACCTCAAAAATGTGACCCAAATAAGATATGATGAATTCCAAAATAAACCCAAAACTGGAAAACGACATCCTTAAGAATATAATAATTATAGGTATATAAATGCCTACTCGCACTAACTAATAACTGATGTAACTAAGCTGTAAAGTTCAAATTTCGAATTTGTTCTAATAACACAATTATTATATGTTTTCAATGACTCCAATCTTTGAGATTTGCATAATTAATACTCTATAAATTATCACATCCATTAAATAACATCAACAGAAGCAAACCTTCACCTTCTATTCCCTTATTTTCTCTTCTTATTTCTTCACATCAAGTCTCTAAGAGGCAAAAAAACCAGAATATGAACTTTCTCTTTTGTTGTCAATCACTGAGCATTCCTGATCACACCTATGATATATTATTAAAAAAACAACACCGAGTTATAAAATCAAGAATAATTAGTTTTTCTTTCAAGCATAAGAGATTTCTCATACTGATTCAGCAAAGCAAATATGCCTTGAATTCAAATAACACATTTATTATTCATGTCTTTTGATGTCCTTTATTATACACACTTTCAATACAAGTCAATATATAATTTAGCGAAATAGAAAAAAGTTCTATTCTCTTTTGAAAATAGTTGGTCTTATTTCTGGTCACACTAAAAATAGAAAAAAAATAAAAAAATCCAACAAGCACACATGTTTCATGAATGAGCAGTGCATCTAACTGGAACTCACCAGTTTGGGTGATTCTTGAGAATCAAATTTCAAGGATGTGGCAGCCAATACATCGATGCTGTTTCTTATGCCAAGACCTCCCTTTTAGAATAATCTTATGAAAAATTAGCTCATATAAAAATATATAAACATGAATGTCTGGACTACAAATATATAAATAATTACCTGAACTGGTAAACCATGGGGTTTGTTGATTACAATGATGGCGGAATCCTAAAATATGGATTTTACTCAGAATTTGGTCATGCAAATAAAGAGACAGAGAATTCAAATAACCTTATACAAGATGAGGCTGCGCATAAACTTGATCTCTTTTTGATTGTAGGGATTCTCATTGTTTTCCTTTGTGAAATTTTCCACTGAAATAGGCAAAAGTATCACCTCTCCTGAACTCAACGTCTCTTTTGCTGAGACCTAAAAGCAAGTTTTATCAAGGCAAAGATTCTGAATAGAACTCCAAGTATGTAAGCCTCTAACCTGCTTAAGATACAATGAGCTATGATTTCAGTTCGCTGCTATTACCCTTTTAAGTTGCTGCCCTTCATATTGAGCTCCTGAAGAAACCAATTCCTTACGCACCTGAGCAAAATACATAAGTTCAGAAAGGAAGGTATGCATATTAGAGAAGATAAATAGAATAGCTAATTGATCGCTGTATTTTATTTTTAAAAAAAATGGCTAGGAATATTATTTTTAGCTCAATTTTGGCTACACCTCGGTGTCACTAGGCCTTCTAGATTGACCTTACGTCCTTAAGCGGCTAAACCAACTCACACTTTATCCAGACCTGACCTACTCATCCCTTGGTTTGGCCTTTTCCTTGAACTAGACTTGCCTATTTTAGAGGCATTATCCTATGTTTCCTTTCTTGGAGGCCCTGGATCAAGTGGCTCAACACTGATCCCAACCTGATTAAATTTTGACCCAACTTTATTTTGACTCAAACCTAGTTTATCCTAACTGCCTCAATCCTAAAGGTGAACCCAATGGGACCTAAATCAGTCCTTAGAGGTTGTCCTTGACTTAGACCATCTTTAGGTGATTTAATTTCAAGACCCAGCCTAGAACTTGCCAATTAACTAACGCAGATACAGACGGTCGGACGTTGACAATTAAAATTTTATTTTATATGACTAACAATTTACAATCGAAATGAACTAAAAGAGCCACTAAAGAATATAAATTAAAGTAATAGAATTAATTTTTTTATCTTAGCTCAGGTCGTTCACAACTTCTTTATATATTTCCACATCTATTGCTCGTCTTTTAATCAAATGATTAAAATTGTAATGTTAGTTTAAAACCAAAAGGAGCTAAAAAGGCTAATGAGCAAACCTAATTATAAACCAAAGTAATGTAACGAAAGTGTAGCAATATGTATGTCAATTAAACATTTAATAAATCAGTATAACAGCAATTGATAATTTATATTTATAAATATAATTGATCAAGATATTTCAAAATTTTTATTATGTCATACAATATATTTTTATATTTATATCATTTTATATACGACTGTCATAGAAGCACCGTCTAAAATTGTACTGGTTAAAGTACTTCAATATCAAAAATATTATTCATTTACATACACGGGTACTTTAGTATTCCCGTACACAGGTGCACATACAATCAGTTCATGCAGTTCATATCTTCATTTGTTCTTTTCATTCAATTCTATCTTTACATAAAGTATAACAATAGTATTTCTAATATATATATAAAAGAGTATATAATACATATTCATCACAATGATATGACTAACACTAAAAAAGTATATAAATCATAATCAAATGTTGCAATTATGTTAACAATCAATAAATTTCGTTTAGAAAAAATAAAATTACTACAACTTAAAAGTTAAGAGTACTCACTTTATGATAAAAAGTATAAATAGTAATCCACGTTTTTGACATTGTAATTGATTTTTCAAAACATGAATTCCTATGTGTGGACTCAAATAAAAGTATAATATGCATTTAATTATCTAACTTATGTCTTGTCATTAAACTTCTCATTTACATTTAATTATTTAATTTTAATATCTAATGCTTACATTTTCATATTTGATAATTATATTATTTATAACTAATATGACCACAACAACTTTCAATTAATAAAATAAATCTTTAATTTAAAACATCAATCCTCAATCTTACCTCCACATTTGCTATTGTCAATTCCTTCATATTCCAATGCAAAAATTCTTTTGTTATTTTTTCCTATCATAAATTAACATAATCCAGCATTATACCTAAATACAACTTCAATTTAATTAGTTTAAAAAAAATCCTAAATTAAATAAACCCAAACCTTTACTTACAAGCATCAGCTTGGTTCTTTTCCTCTCATGCACGCACAACTCCCACACTCCTCTCCTACACACACGGCTCTCACACTTCTTCTTTCTCCTTGTGCCTGCTTTCACTATTGAAAAAGCTTTCCACCTTCCAATGCCTCAACTCCATGACGTGGGTAATCAAACACAACTTCAATGATGCCCTAACTTGTACGACATCACTTCCAACATTCCTCATTTCCACTGCCTTAATACGCTTCGATTAGACGTTGGGTACATTTGTGTTTGTGGTTATAGTAGTCGGCACCACCTTCATCTCATTATCAATTGTGATCTCACCTGATTTCTTCTCATTCTTATTCACACACAGTGGTTCACCCGCTTACGAAGGCTTCACGACTTCCCTTGCCCTGGACACATGTAGTGTGTCGTTCCACCAGCACAATCCACTCGAATGATACCACCTCCACTACCTTCCCAAACGCGATCATTGTTCTTCTTCCTTCTTTAAGTTTCGTTCGTCACCTATAAGTGAGTAAGAATGAAACCACATCACTTCCTTCGACTTTCCTTCTCATTCTCTTGTTCTCTTCTCTTGTCTAGTTCACTTCCCTTCTTCAAATGGCACAGTTGCCTCCTTAAAACAAAACCGTCGAGGCATTTCATTCTTGTTTGAAATGACACTAATTAAATTCTATTATTATTATTATTATTATTATTATATATTTTTCAGTTATTACAATCTGCTCTTCATATAAAATTTGGTCAATGAAATTTATATACCATTGCTTTGGTTATAATTGAATAATTTATTACAAATTTCTTAAATTTCATATTAGAGTTTCGTAAGTTAACCTATTGGCTCTTTCATTAAGATTGTGTTAATCGATTTGAAAAACAATAATCTTAAGGGTTATAATTCTATCTCTATTTCTATTAATTTTTATTACATTATATTTTAAACTCTTATCTATAATTATATCTACACCATTTCTTGTGCGACTCTAACTTGAATACCAAAGTTTAAAACATAAGTTATCAATCTCGTGAGCCACTCCAACCCATTTAGTTTCTTCAATACATAAGTTATTAATCTTTTTATGAATCATAATATCAACTAATTCCATTAATTTACCTATGAAAGTACATATATTCCAAGATCTCATCGTAATATTATTTTTATGGACTAACATCTTTACCCACATTTGTTCGTAATGTTGTAACCCTTGTTTATTTGACACTGCACTCGGGCGCTGGTGTAGCGGTTTTTGCATATTTTTCACCGCATTCAGGTCATACAGCGCGTCGCTTCATGGAACGCCCTAACATTTACACAATGATCAAAATGACTCGTGTCATGATTTTTCGATGAATTTTACGCTTGTTGTTAACTACCAAACGCAACCCTTCACTTTTCACATTCAGGACTTGAGACCCGACAATAACACTATTAATTAACATAATCTTACATTATACCTAAATATAACTTCAATTTAATTTTAAAAAAATATAAAGTAAACAAACTTTAACCTTTACTTATAAGCATCAGCTCGGTTCTCTCTTGCATACACAGCTCCTACACTCCTCTCTTGCATGCACTCCAGCACTTCCTCCTCCCAGTGCCTACTTTTACAGCTGAAAAAGCTACTCCCACCTTCCAATGCCTCGGCTTCACAACGTTGATAATCAAATACAAGTTTGAGATACCTTAACTTGCACAACAACATCACCCCTCATATTTCCTGTCTCCACCGCCTTCATATGCTTTGATCGAACCCTAGTATGCTCGTAGTTGTGGCCAGAGTCAACATCAACCTCGTCTCACCATCAATCGTACTATCTCCTAGCTTCTCTACTTTCCTCTTCACTCATAGTGACTCTCCCGCTTACGACAACTTTGTGTCTTCCCTTTGCCTAAACGCATGTAGCGTGCCACTCCACTAGCAAAATCCACTTAGATGATGCCACCTCCATTTCCTTCCCAAACATGATCAATATTCTTATTTAAATTTTGCTCATCACTTATAGGTGAGTAAGACCAAAACCACATCACTCTCTTTGGCTTCCCATCTCACTCCATCGTTCTCTTCTCTTATTTGGTTCGTTTCCCTGCTTTGAATGGAACACTCGCCTCTGTAAAATGAAACCGTAGAGATATTTTATTCTCCCTCAAATTGACACAAATTAAATTTCTTTATTATTATTATTATTATTATTATTATTATTATTATTATTATTATTATTATTATTATTATTATTATTATTATTATTATTATTATTATTATTATTATTATTATTATTATTATTATTATTATTATTATTATTATATATTTTTCAATTATTACATCTAAAAGACCCCTTTCAAGCATCTAACAAGATGTTCGCATCACAAGGCCGAGAAATTTATCATTGCCTTTGGGCCTTTGAAGATAGTCAACAAGTTTAACTCAACCAATGACTCTCAAGTTGCCACCAACTTTATTTTTGGCAATTGAATCGATAACTCTTCTCATTTTTTATGCCGATAACTTTCTTCTCAATCATTTTGTTAACAACATTTTCTCTTGGACCATTAGGTCAAACTCCTTTCGCAGGTTTTGACTGTAAAACTAATTATTTGTCGTTAGTTGCCAGCATCTTGTTAGAGTTGAACTTCTAAACCTTTGATCATAATTCATTCTAGGACTTTAGTTGCCAAATTCTTTCTCGAAAATTGGTCAATTTCATCTCCCCTAGGCAAAGTTCACTATGTCGCCCACACTAACATTTCTTTAGTCTCTATTAATCAACAAATTCTTACAAGCCATTACAAGGACAATTAAAATGCTCCCAATATTTGCTTTTTAGCATCATTAGAGTCAAAGTAGGTTTCATTTTATTAATGTCAACCTTGTCACATGCGTCCTCATTTGTCCAAACATCCTTTTTTTTAAAAGTTGGGAGCATATCACAGGAATTGCAAAAAATGGTAAGAGATAACAATGACATGAAAAGCCACATTTTGGCGGTGATGCTTGATGGTACTATGGCCAAGGACACCACTTTCGTTAGCATTTTTATACTCTCATTTCAAAACCCCATATTTAGATTCTAAGTAGAGAGAAAAATATGAACCTTGGCATGGAGTTCCACTATAACCGTCATCCTAGTCCTCTATCACAACCGCCAAAGTAATTAACAACCTTCATTCTGAGAGATGCTACCTAGTTTACCACAATAAAGCTTCAAGGATCCCATTTATCTAAGCCTTTGTAAGAAGTAAAATGTATCAACTCCCCTTTCT